TACTCTGCTATAAAAAAGAATGAAATACTGCCATTTGCAACAACATGGATGGACCTAGAGAGAATTATATTAAGTGAAACAAGTCAGGTACAGAAAGAGAAATACCACATGTTCTCACTTATTTGTGGGAGCTAAAAATAAATAAATAAATACACAAATAAACTGAGGAGGGGAGGGAAGAAGACACAACAATCACAATTCCTTGAAGTTGTTTCGACAAGTGAACAGATATGAGGTTGTTGGGAGGGAGGGGGGAGAGGAAGGGGGGAGGAAGGTCTCGGTAATGGGCCACAATAATCAACCACATTGTATATTGATAAAATAAAATAAAATATTTTAAAAAATTTCTTTTCAGGCCGGCCCGTGGCTCACTCGGTAGAGTGTGGTGCTGATAACACCAAGGCCACAGGTTCGGATCCTATATAGGGATGGCCGGTTTGCTCACTGGCTGAGCGTGGTGCTGACAACACCAAGCCAAGGGTTGAGATCCCCTTACTGGTCATCTTTTTAAAAAAATAAATAAATAAATAAAAATTAAAAAATTAAAAAATTTCTTTCCACTGTGGGTGGGTGGTGGTGAAGCGTACAACCACCACTAGTTCAGCTTTATGCTGCCGCCTTAATTCAACCTAAGGCACCAGCAGTTTTGCCCACACTGCCTTTGCATCCTCAGCATGAATGTCAGATAGTTTTGACTTTGTGGACCCCCTCAAAGTGTCACTGGGCCCCTCAAAGGTCTGTGGACCACAATTTGAGAGCCACAGCTCTAGTGCATTCTCTCAGGGTTGTCAGGGGTTTTCTTCTCTATTTTTAGAAGCTCTTTATGTAGGTATGGAGATAGTCTCCTGTCATCTGTGATGTAAGTTACAAAGATTTCTTTTCCGGGCCGGCCCGGTGGCGCACTGGATAGTGCGCCGCTTGGGAAGCGCGGCGGCGCTCCCGTCCGAGGGTTCGGATCCCACATACAGACCGGCTCCCGCTCACTGGCTGAGCGAGGTGCGGGAGCAACACCGAG